TTTTTTTTTTTTTTTTTTTGGGGTGTGTGTGTGTGTGTGAATTGTGTTGGTGCGTGCTAAAATTAGTATAAGATCCCTTTCAAATGCACAAAACAAATTGTTTTTGTTTTCCAATTTTCCCTTCTGCGCCAATCGTATTTTCAAAATAAGACCGCATACAAATTATGAAAAATACCATTTGAAACCGTTTTGACGACAGAAAAATAATCCCATTGCTCTGAATGAGCATTCACTAGGCCGAGTTATTGAAGAGTTCAAAAACTTTGGTCCATTCCGTAAATTTTTGCGGCGTGTGAAGCATACCGGTGTCGTCGACACACAAATCAAGCTTAGAACAAGCGCAAGACAATCAATATACCAATTCATAACTTTAAAGATTAAGAACGCTTTGAGAGCACGTTTTAATTAAACGAAAAGCGTTCATTTTGACTAGCTGTAGCATAAGAACAATGTCAATAAGTAGGAATAAGAAAGTAAATGTTTTGTACCTCTGGAGTGGGCGGATCGTCAAGGTGTCCCAACCGCAAGCGTCTCAAAGCTTTTAGGCGCCCGCTTTGTAAGACTTGTGACTAAGAAAGTCGAATCCACCCAACAACTCTTTCTTTAGATTTTAAACATATTTGCCTATATTTCCCAAACAATATAATCGGAAATTACAATGGAATTTAAATAGTTTAAATATTCAGTTAAAATGAAGTATACAGCCTCAATTCTATTGCAATTTCATACCTTTATCTTAAAACATTTTCATCTTCCACTGAAAGAAGAACGCAAGCATTTCTCGTAAAATGAATCTAAAATTAAATATTTAACGGGATTTTTACACCCGCTTTATTGGCCATTTAAGTTATAATCAATTCGAGTGTCTTGTTAGTGTAAGTTCAATAGACTGTATAAGCTCCCAATGTATACTTCCTTATCAAGCCATTTCATTATCGTATTGAATATTCCACAAACTCAATAACAATGTGGAGTGGACTTTACACGCTCTTGGACCTTAAATTATCGCCATCAACTTGTCGTTTAGATATCAAGCTTCAGATGTCAGTGCACCTAGACTGTCTGACTGGTCATTACCATTGTGGTGACTTTTTACCCTCGACCAGTTCCTGCCAGAATTAGAATTAAATATAAATCATGCCCGGAATAAAAATGACAATTCTAATTTAAGTCTGCCTGTCAGAGACATTAATATGAATAATTTTCTGGGCGAATAATCAGGCGATAAATGCATTCGAGAAGTTTTACAATGGAAGTCGAAGGATTTATATGAATTTTATGATTGCGCACTTGTGATTAAGCAACAGTCAACATTACTTATTAAAAAGATACTTTAGTAGCAAATGGTGTGCCTGATAATTAACAGTACAGTTGATACGTTAAAGAAAATCAGTAGAAATAATAGGATATTACAGTT